CTTCCCGAGCAGATTTTCCTGCAGCTCAGCTCGCTTTGGGTGGAGGCGTGGGGGTTGTTTCGGAGCTTCACAAGCCTTTGTGCTCTGCGGGGAGTTACACCTTGTGCTCCAGTGCAGACCCAGGTTAGGTGGGCTAGGGAATGCCTGGCTTGAGCAACCACTTCAGAGGGCAGGACAGGGAGGAAAAGGCAAAACACTTGTAGAGAGGTGGCCTCCCTGGTAAGGCTAGAGCAGGACCGTCCTGCGGACCCTGTGGGAGGGAGAAGGTAAGTGGCTGCTTGGCAGAGGCTGCCTTGCGGGAGCGGTATGTGCCGGGCAGGGTGCGCCCTGCCCGCCCGTTCCTGCGGCTCAGGACCAGCCGCTCCGTGGGTCTGTAAAACCTGTGCTGTGGTATGTGCCGAGGCTCAGGGCTGTTTTCCTGCGAGGGAGCAGGGTTCTGCCGCGAAGGAGGCAACGCAGCCTGCGCCTTTCGCAACGATGTGAGGGCTTAGGCTCCATCTCTTCGTTTCTTGTTCCTTTCCCCACCCCCCCTTCCTTCCTTCCTCGGTCCTCACCGGGTCAGGCTCTGTCGAGAACAAGCGACAAACCGTCCGCACAAAACATAACACGTTTCCATGGAGGAGGGAGAAAAAAAAAAAAAACCAACCAACAACCATGTCTCCGCACTGCCAGGCTGGCTTTAAAATGCTACCTCTGGGCTCTGTGCCCCCCTCTCGGGGTGAAGCTCTTGGAGCCAGACCCTCCGCTCCGTCCCTGCGAGACGCGTCCTCTCCGGCCAGACCATCCCGAAACGCCTGGCCCTTACCCGTGCCAGCACAGCAACAGCCACCCTGCTCCACAGTTGCTTTAAATAATAACCTGCTAGTAAACTTGGAAGAAACGGTGACGTTGTTCTAGGCTAACCACCATTAAAGCGCTCCTCTGCTGTTTCTCAATAGAGGTGAAAAGCATTTTAGCTTCCTGGAAATGGCCGAAAGAGGCGACGTGTAGATCAAAGTACGGTATGGATCTGTTCTTGGTTTTGCAGGGGTTTTTGGAACTGTAATGAAAACGTTTCTGCAGCTTGCATCATAATGAGTTAAGTCAGCACGTAAAGCGATTTTAAAAAAGAGCAGATTTAGACACCATTGGCTGCTAACTTTCCTGGGCTTTAAAATTTATGTTTAAATAGATATTTGGGTATTAGTAATATCTGCATTTAAACCTTAACGTTGCATCTGTTTAACCCTGGAGCAAACTGGCTCTGCCTAGCACAGGCTTTGAAGCGATTCAGCCAGACCATAATACTGTGGGAGCTTAGACAGCTTTGTCCGTACTTGCACCTCTCTGCGCATTTTTCCAGGACGACGATCTTTGTCTGCAATTAATCATTGTTCAGGACGGCCGTTCCCGATGGTAGAATCCATGGGCTGCTCCAGCTGGGAGAGGTCCTAAAGCGTGTGCCTGGCGCCGCGTACGTGCAGACCAGGGCCAGAAATTGCTGGGGCAGCAGGCGTTGTACAGCGAGCCCGCCGTGCCGGCCCAGTGAATTGTGTGGGTCCTCAGCACTTCTGGAAAGTGTTTTTGTAAGTCTGAGCTGAAAATTTCTTTCCCTTTTTTTTTTTTTTTTTTTAGAGTTTCTAAATGACTGTAATGTTCAATGTAGTTTAAAAGTCACCGAGGCAGTTGAGACCGGTTGCACTCCCAGAGTGGGTGGTTTCATGGTTGAACCTCGTATCTGAAAAGCTAAATGTTCTGGTACAGTGTGCTTAAGTCCCAGAAAGGTCAAACCAGACTTTCATACTTGAGTTAGATTGACCCTGCTTTACTGCGTGAGACTCTTTAGAGAAAGAAAGAGATCTTTCAGGGGAAAGGAAAAAAAAAAAAAAAGATATTTTTTTTTTTCTCTCTGAACAGCTTGTGGTGACTCTACGCACATTCTTGAAGCAAAGGGGTTTGTTCTTGCCCACAGCGTCCCTCCCCTGCATTGTTGAGTGGAAAACTCTTATGCTAATTATTTCACTGTCTGTTATCAATAAGAAGTGATTTAATTTCTTTGGCAAAGTGTTGCAACAAGAGCAAATTAGATTGAGAGGCAAAGTTAAATAAAAAATATGCAGCTGTTCTGCCAAACAATGATCGTGACTGTTTACAACATTTTGTTTTAGACTGGCTTGTACACAGAATCCTTTATACGGAAGGTTTTCATGTCACAATCCACTGCTTGTGCAAATGAACTAGATTGATAGATTATAAAGGACAAAAGAGACCTAGGTTCATCTGCTTGGACTTCCTGCATTATGTGGGTCATAAGATTTTTGTGAATTCGTTGCTTTTTCTCATTTGAAAGAATTTAACTACAGCATACCTGCATCTTGGGAAAACATCAGATTTTAATTTTAAAATGGGCTGTGAGAAAGAGTAAAAGAAGAGCTAGTGAATTCTTTCCATCGAAAGCTGACAGACTAGAAATCAAAATACCTTTTTAAACTTGTCTAGTTTCTGCTTTCAAGTTTCTGGATGTGTGTGTGTCTCTGCTTGACGGAGGAATGCCCCATTGCCAGATTTCCGTCCCCGTGTAGCTGTGTAGAGGCTGAACAACAGCGTTTAAGGCTCCGGTTGCAGACTTGCAGAGCTCCCCCTCGGGTCCATCTTTACTAATCTTGTAATCGCTCCTGTTGCGGTTCCCTGTGAACACTCCAGTTTTTCCCCATTTAGACCTGGGCAGAAGGGGACAGAACGATCAGCGGTGATCGTACCCGTGTCAGCAGCCCTCCTGGCAGCGACACCTCTCTTAGCCATCCAGGGATTACACCAGCCCAGCACGGCTCCCAAGATCTGCTCCTTCTTGGGATGGCATCCCCGTCCTTCACTCTGCATGTATGGCTGTACACTTGGCCCTCTTGAGAAGGACAAGTCCTTAGACAGTACTGTTGCTTGCAAAGGCCTTTTTATTTTTATAGCACCCCCTCCTGCTACTGTTGGGTGTCATCTACAGACTTGATTGGTAATGATTTTATATTTTCTTCCAGATAAACAACTGCTTCTGTCTCCACTGTAGGAGTTTCCTGGTTCCGGGTGTGTGTACACTTCAGCCGTGTCAATATTGTGTCGGGAGGAGGTCTGGATGGACTCCATCCTCTTGCCACACCCCAGTTTCATGGAAGAAAGCCCAGTTTAGGAGCTGGAAGGGAGCCAGGAGGCACGTTGCAGCATTTGCCTGCCCTGGTGTCTATAACACAGCCATTAAATAATGTAGGGCCCAAAAGAGGTAGTTGCAGGATCCACAAAAGAAAGATGACACGTCCAGGACACTGGTTACAACTACATTTTGAGACCTTTCTGTTAGATGGATTCTAATCCATTTGATTGTAAAAGATGACACGTCCAGGACACAGTGGTTACAACTACATTTGGAGACCTTCCTGTTAGATGGATTCTAATCCATTTGATTGTGCCTTCTTGCTCTTAGATTCTCCTACTTGTAATCACATGAGTCCTTCACGGGGGTTGGAGTACGGCACATCAGCCCTCTTGCAGAAATCTCTTACTAGGGCTATTACCGTTTACCACCGAACCTTGTAATTGCTTGAAACAGTTTATTTCTCAGCAGCCAAACTCATGAAGCTTGATCTCCCATGGATTTGTGTCCACAAATGCCCCTGATAAATCTTCCAGCTCTTTGCCAGTCTTGCTTGCCCTGTCTAGCTGAGCAAGGGGTAACTGGCATAGGCAAGGGCTGAGTTCTTCCTGCCTGTCCCCGAGACCAAGGTGGTGCATCTGCTCAGCTGTTTGTTCAAGACCTAGATACGTTTGGGACTTCTTCCCCACTGCCAAATTTGATTGAGATCGGAGAAAGGAGAGGAAAAATGACATAAAGCAACACAGATACATTAGGCTGTTTTATATTTAGCAAGCCAGGCTAAGAATATCGAAGGACTGTTTGAGTAGGAATACGGATCGGGTATTTGCCTCTTCAGGTTTTTTGCCATTAAATTTTTCATTTCTTCCTAAGAACAGCAGATGATCTGTCTAGGGAATTTCTCAGCCGAAATAAGCAACCTTCTGACAGATTTCACCTGTGTCCCAGCATGCTGTGAGGATGCATGGGATGCGAGCGTTGAACAATGACAGGGAATCACTACTCTGCTGTGTTGTTTGGCTGCCTGGGTGCAGAGAGATGTACGGTGATACCCAGTAGTGGAACAAACATTTATTTTGTTTTAAGATCCATACAACTTTTGATGGACGTGTTTGGATATTTCTGCCTGTCCCCGAGACCAAGGTGGTGCATCTGCTCAGCTGTTTGTTCAAGACCTAGATACGTTTGGGACTTCTTCCCCACTGCCAAATTTGATTGAGATCGGAGAAAGGAGAGGAAAAATGACATAAAGCAACACAGATACATTAGGCTGTTTTATATTTAGCAAGCCAGGCTAAGAATATCGAAGGACTGTTTGAGTAGGAATACGGATCGGGTATTTGCCTCTTCAGGTTTTTTGCCATTAAATTTTTCATTTCTTCCTAAGAACAGCAGATGATCTGTCTAGGGAATTTCTCAGCCGAAATAAGCAACCTTCTGACAGATTTCACCTGTGTCCCAGCATGCTGTGAGGATGCATGGGATGCGAGCGTTGAACAATGACAGGGAATCACTACTCTGCTGTGTTGTTTGGCTGCCTGGGTGCAGAGAGATGTACGGTGATACCCAGTAGTGGAATAAAAAAACATTTATTTTGTTTTAAGATCCATACAACTTTTGATGGACGTGTTTGGATATTTGCCAGGGCTGTTTTTTTTTTTTTTTTGGTTTTTTTTTAAATCGGACATGTTGGATATTTGCCAGGGCTGGGTTTTTTTTTTGGTTTCTTTTTAAACTGCATCTGTTCATTTTATTTCTGCTAGTATTATGACAAAGCTGCCTCTGTAAGGTAGGTAGTGAGTGCTTTCAGAGATCTAATCATTCTTGAACTATAAAGGAATAAAGGAGCCGTTTCAACACCTGACTTGCAGAATGTTTTGTGTTGCTTCTTGCCTATTGAAATGCAGCTGCTATTGAAACGCTATGATCCCGTCAGAATGTACGACCGGTTATTTTTTAGAATACTGTCAAGCTTTTAAAAATCATTAAATAAATCAAGAATGTTGGCAATTCTAATCAACATTCTAAAGCCAACAAATTACTAAACGGTTCAGTTCAGTACTATATGGCCTAAACACTAGTTTTACAACAACAACAAAAAAAGAATGAAAAGAATGTACCATTTAAAGGATTCAGGCACTCACAGAGCTTGCATCAAAAGGAAATGAAGACATAGATAAGTAATCTAAAAGGATATTTATGCATTAAAATACTTCTGTATCTCGACAGCTATCATTAAACAGTCTAGAAGTGACGGTAGCTGACGGCCTGTGAGCCTTTTTAACAAATGCAGCACATACAAGGAACATTCTCATTATAAGTGATGGAGTGTAAAACGTTGCAGCCGGAAAAGTGATGACAAAGATCAAATGGAATGACTTTAGCTTACACAGTGGAGCAGTTTAACTGGTGTGATGCAAACAATGTACGACACAAGACCAGGACGGTTTTGCCTTTGATGTTGTCGCGATAACTCTCAAATCTGCTGTTAAGGATCCCCGTCTTGATTTATTTTTTGACAGGACAGTTGGGAGTGCCCCAGCTGCTCCACTAAGCCATGGTTTTCAGACGAGTGGGCCAGAACACGCAGAATTAGCGAATGCTGTGCCATCCGTTGCCTTTCTACGCTGCTGCATAACAGCAGCTCCCAGTTGCTAAGCAGCTGCAGAGCCGTCTTTGCCTTCGCTACCAATCAGCTGTACTAGGGGAGCAACATGGGTTCCCCTTGATCGGTGGAGAGGAGCCGGCAGCATGAAAATGGGAGCTGTGGCCATAGCAAAATTGTTCCTTTTCTGCCTGGCTGATGGGCCCCCTGGCAAAAATGCTGGAGCGAAGCGAAGGGACACTTGATGGCCCAGAAGCAGGGGGTGGCGGGGAGGGGAGAGGGAGAGCCAGCATATGTGCACAGCGGAGGTTACAAAGACAGCAGATCTTAGCAGAGCAGGGGGCACGCACCGAGGAGAAAGAAATGGGAGAGAGGCCAAATGCACAGTTCGGAATAAAAAAAAAACCCAGGAGGAGAGTGCGGCATATGGAGAGGGGAAATAAAGCAGAACTTGCACAGCCTGCGAATAATTGAATAGAAAATACAGGAAGAGAGGAAAGGAGCTTGATTCATTACTGCCCTTCACCTTGTGGGGACAGCTACACCCGGGAAGAAGAGGTGTGGAATACAACAGCATCTTTCATGTTTTGCAGTGAACTGTTGGTTTTACATTTCATCCCCTGCCATTTGTGGTTTTCTCGCTGGATAGCCCCTGCCTTTTGTTTAGACTTGATTCCTGCAGGCTCTGTTCTTAGCCTAGTTTCTAATTTATTTTCTTATTAGCTGTAGCTTTTTTTGGGGTTGTGTTGGTTTTTTTTCAAGGTAAGTCTTAAATTAAAATACCTTTTCCAGATGCTTTAATTGTTTTAACCTTCAAGAGTGCAGGGCGTTGCTAATTCCCAACTGAAATTGTTTTCCACTAAATTGGCAAAACCATCACTGTTTTTCTCCCCCTCTCTTTTCCAGGAGCTGCTGATGGAGAACAGGGTTCTCTTTGCTTCCTAACACCTTCCCCTGCACGTTGTCTTTCCTTTTCCCCACACGATTCCTGCCAGCAGTCCAGGAATTCTTGCTGCTCGCAGCGTGCAGGAAGTGGTTCCTGTGGCAGTAAATCATCACAAACGCCTGCTGTGGTGTATAAGAAGGTGGGGAATGAGACCAAAAGAGATTCTAGTTCCACCACCACTCAATCGCCCACATGAAAAAATACTTTATGGTCCCAGTGCCCAACGTGCAATTGGCTGTGTAACAGGAAATGCCCGTAGAGCTGGCAGGGAAGCGGGGGAGCTACACGTTCCTCTCTACAGCTCCTCCAGACAGAGGATTGAGGGGCACATTTGCACAGGAGGGTGGGGAGAGAAATTAAAGCTTGAGCAGCTGTTGCCCTCCTCTTTGGCTAGCCCTGGCTTGCTTGTTGGAGGTCTGTGGATTGAGAACACTTCTCCAGGTCCAAAACTAACTCCAAAAAGGGAAACAGAGGTGCCCACCCTGATCTGTAGTGGAAAGGATTTGCTGTGGGCTCTGTGTGTGTGTGTTTCAAACCAATAAAAAACTTGAGAAATAAACAGGCAGATGTGTTTCATACTTGGAAGACTTTTGTCTAAAACATCTGATTCGGGGGGATGCTATATTTGCTTCTTTCTTCCATTTGTCTGGAGCCCTGTATCTTTGAACAGGCACTGTCTATGCTATTGTTAGACTTCTAAAAACCGTTAAAGGTCTCGGGGCCACTGACATTTTACAAGTAGTTTCAGCTGCCTTTCACGCAGGGGCATTTTTGGCATTATGAGAAATGTACGTTTAATTAGAGTGGTTTTAACCAGGAAATCTCCCCGCCTTAAGAAATCAGAGCTACTGTGTTAATCCCAGTAAGCAACTGGGAACTTGACAGTGTGGCTGTTGTTACCACGAGAGTCAGGAAGGGTGAAATGTGTGTAGGAAGGGAGAAATGCACAGGAAACATGCCATCAAGGGCAGCGGTGTCGAGCTCACGCAGGGCAGCGCGCCAGTCCGAGTTTGGCCATGACCCATGGGCTGGAGCAACGCTGGCTGGTTGCTGCCCTCTACGTGCCTGTGCACAGCAGACCAAGTGACTACCACGATTGCTCAAAACACCTTCCCAACCCGCTCGGTGGCTCGCAGCGAGGACCTTTGTCCAGGCCACCCTGCACCATCAACCCATCCAGCTCCCACAAGCACGGCACAGGCCAAAAATCACAGCTCTAAAGCAAACATGACAAATAAACTGAGTTTATTTCCAGCCCCTCAAGTTATTAATTAGCCTGCTCTGAGCATTGCTGTTTCTTTGCAGGGTTTGCTCTAGCTGGGTTAATGGTTACTCTCGGGTCTGAGATAAACTCAGTCTGGGCCTGTCCTTTGCCTAGGGATGCCAAGAAGCCACAGACCTCTCCGGTTCCTGCCAGACCTCCATCCCTATGCATGAGCTCCATCCCAGCCAGATGACGACAGAGCAAGTGCTTCCTGCTTAGCTCTCCCTATACATCTAGCACTCAACAAAAATCAGGCAGAAATTACGGTGTCTCCCGTAGGGATATAAAAAGAGGATTTTATTGTCTCTTCAGTCCATAGTTGCTGCCTTCCTGTTGGAAGTTTGCACAAATACCAGAGGGGAGGACGCAAACTTCACACATTAATTGCCCTTTAATGTCAGTGCCACACGTTACTCAGCAAAGCCTGCCCCTATTTCATCCACAGTCCTTTCTCTTATAGCCTACTTTGGCATCCCTTTTCTCCTATGAATATTCCCAGTTTCCCGAATTCTTGTCCAAAAGGTTTCAGAGCTTCCTGCCTGGGCCGGATGCAAGAGCGATGGCTGTTGCACAGCCAATGCAGCAATGAAGTGTTGATCAAAGCCTGACTCTTCTAATGGCTCTGAAACACACATGCTTGTTCAGGTTGCATTGTAGCTCACATAGTGGAAAGCATATTTAGCAAGCCAAACCTGGGATTATTTAAACCTGAGTTTCTCAAGAGCCTCACAAAAAGTACAACTCCACACATTTCAGGATTAGTGGAAGCTACCAACCAACTTCTGGAGACCGTAACCCAGATCTGGCCATCCACAGTGGACTCACCTACTCCATACTTATCCCTGCTGCGTAAAGAAGCTGAATGCAACTCCTCCTTTCGTGCTGTGGTCATCCTAATTAACACTCCTATTGGTCTCGGCCTCCCTTGTCTCTAAACCAGCAAGTATTTTAAAAGAAAATCTATCAATAATTGCCTACTTTTGGAATAGGAAAAGAAGGGAAAAGTAATATGAAGAAAGCAGATACTGCAGAGAGCGCTCTGATTTTGACAAAAAAAAAAAACATCTCCGTGCTTCCTGGCTCAAGTGGAGTATTGGGTAATGAAAACATGGGAAGGCGTAAGCCAGAGGGATTTTAGGGGCGTATACTAAAGAGAAGAGTTGGATAGTGGATAAAAACACATTGTGTTGGAAGGAAAGCTATTTACAGCCTCTTTCCCTACGTTTCCCCAAATTACTTCCTGATGGGATTAGTCTTTGCTGCAGATCTGGACGCAGAAAAGCATCTGATGCTGATTAATTTCATGCAGATCTGTAGCAGAGCCTTGTGCCATGAGCAAGGCTGCGCATCACTCCTGAACTCCTGGCTTCTGGCTGTTCCCATGGTAAAACCAGCCACAGCTACCAAAGCAAACACAACCTGCAGATCTCGCCTGAAACAAGGCATTTTGAATCCCTCTCTCTCTCCAGTGAATCTCCAGATTCGCTTCTCAGCACAGAGGCAGAGGATGAGATTCAGCATCCCTGTCATAGCTCCGCCAGCCTGTGTTGACAAATTCCTCCCCATCGCTCAGTGAAGCTGTGCCAGCACATCTGGGAGACACACATATCACCCAGATCCACGGGGGCAGAGTTATGGTGGTGTTGGCAGACACTTGCCTGTTCATTTCATGCTTTTCAGAGATCAGTCATTGTGTTTGATGTTCCAGAAAAGCATAGGATGATCTTAACCTTGTGTTACCCATTTTTTTACAGCAGAACTTGGCTTGAGAATTCACACTTCAGTGAGGAACAGAAACTTGAAACTGCCCCTAAGCACCTACTCTATCAGGCTGAGACGTTTCCACGTTCATTTACATACTCTTCAAATTTGTAGAGTGGAGTTATTTTTTTCTCCCACAACTGCAAAGCCCAAAACTCTTTTTCTAATGGAAAGTGAGATTCAAAATACAGCACGTTGGCCACACATACATCAGGTAGTCCATACTTGGCCCACATAGTTGGCACCCCCAATTTAAAGCATACCAGAGAAAATAACTCAAGAAGCACTATGTGTTCCCTATAAATAGCTGCTCTCTAGGTAGTAGTCAGTGTGCGGTTTATGAACAAAATCTGTCCAAACTACATCAAAGTGCCTGAATATTTGCTGCCTGATTTTGCCGAGTTATGTGCCCAATTTGGCTAACACCTCCTGTTGCAAACCGTTGTCCTGTTTTCTTTCATACCCCTCTGAACTCTATGGTAGCATTTGGACAGATTTTATGTAGAGTTTATTGAAAGATTTTTGCACTGATTTAGTACATAGGCTACTTGAGCCAAGGGAAACAGGAACTATATTCCTAAGGCATGAAAAGGCAGAAAGGAAATTTTCTTATTGAAATATAATTTTTCCACATTACTTAATAGTCTGGAAAGTTAATACCTTTCTGGCAGCACTTCCCACTGGGAAAAAAAAAATGGTTCCTACTCAGCCAAACAACAGTGTAATAATGTTTTAGGTCGGGTTAAATGCCTTAGAAACTGGCAGGTGTCACAGCCACCTTGCCTTCAGTGAAAAAGGCAATTGAGAGCCCTTATGAAACAAGGGATTTACATCAGTAGGGGCTACTACACAAAAAACAGGCACATGGCAAGGTCTGAATAGATGGTGAATCATGTGGCCCAAGGGATTTTTCGGGGTGGGGGCGTGTGTGTAAAATATCAGGCCATGAGGACCAGATGGTAGAGCTCTGCATGTGCAAGAGAAACAGCAAGAAACACTTAAAAAAAAAAAAAAAAGGATACTGAGAAGCAGCTGAAAGTCAAAGACACTGGGAGCTTTGAATATGAAAAAAAGAATATTTCCAGGGTTGAGTGACGGTCAAAGGAGTGCTTGCACTGCGAGCAAAAACACAACTGAAAAAAAATTTTGTACAATTGTTCTGTGAACAAATCAAATTACCTTGAGAACATACCTAGCTTTGTCATGGGCTTCTCCTCTTACAATGATATTGTCACCCATAACTCGTTTGTGTGTACAAGGTACAGTTCAGCTCTCCTACATTACAGTTTCCCCTTGCCTGTTTGCCCTGTGTGTTCGCACTGTAAATTCTGTGGGGCAGAGATTATTCTTCAGTAAGGGTCTCTGCACACAGTAAACAATTGTTGCCCTTGTGTAACACCTGAACTTTATCAGAAATTCACTCTACTTACATGGTAAGTCCCATTCTTTAGGGTCTGTCTTTCCTATTGTAAACTCTTCAGGGCGTTGTCTCTCGCTGTATATGTACATGCTGTGTAGTTCAGTGGGAATTCATTGCTGAAAACACAAATAATTAACATCACTGGTAAAGTTCAAAAATAAATATTTAAAGTTCTGTCTTATTATGCACATTCTTAAGTAAGTTAATGAATATTTCTTTTGACATAAATGGGGCTACTTGTTCTTGTTGTTAACTTTAAGTCTTTGTAAAGCTGGGTTCTGTATTATCAAGAAGAAAATTCTTAAGTGTATTTCAAAAACGTAGTTCTAAAAACATTTAGGAAGAACAGGTCCCCATTCTTGTCTAGTTTATATTACCATATAAACTAATAATATGAGTATACAGCAGATGGCGTGTGCTGTTACTCTTCTCTGCAATTGTGGCTACAAGGAAGTACCAGTAGGCTGAGACCTTGCTTGTTAGCTAAAATAGTTGTATTTTCCATTAGAAATTTTACTGCAAGTCGACATGGAGCTGACAGTTTTTACTGTGTTCCAGATAAGGTGTATAAGATTGTGGTTCATAAAGCATCTTATTGGCAGCTTGTTTATTCTACATCATGCTCGCATCAACTTTTTCCTCAGTAAAATGCTTAGCTTTAAATAGGTGTGAATTTGGCTGGTTTTTTTATTAATATTAATTGAATTACATGACACTTCATTGGGTATGAGCCCCTCCTCCTCCCTATCACCTAAATATCCCTCTCTTGCTTTTTGTTTGCCCTCTACACAAAGCAGGGTCTCCCTTGAAAGAGATGGGGAATCCAGTCGTGTTTGCATTGGGTCTGGAAGGCCATCTAGTGACACAACTGTGCAGCAGAAAATACAAAACCCTGTTGGAGTTGCGATTTTTTTTTTTTTTTAGTTGAATTAAATGATCTCGCTACACTCAAGCATGCCCTCGGGGTTTTGTTCTGTTGCTATTCCCACAAGTAGCATTTCAAAAATTTTAGAGTCAATTTTGATTTCTTAAGAACTGGCAGGGTTTATTTGAGATGTAGCATGCTGTGAATCCCTGCTAAGAAAGAAACACATTTTTTTTGTGCAGAATGGTGGCAGATCGGCACCCAAGCAGGTCTATCATGAACGCAGCATCACTCCCCTGATATGTGTAGCGTGGACAAACAGGTGTGGCTGTTGTGATCCCCTGCCCATACAGTTGGTTGTACAGTTGGTTAAAACTGTACAAACCAACGCCAGGCGGGTTCCTGGGGCCATTGCATCTCCACCATTAAAATGTAAAATTCCAATTTATTTTCATCACAGCTTACCTTGGATGGGTGGCATTGGGTGAATGAACAATGAGCAGAGCAGTTGGTTCCTACTCGAGTGGTAAATACAGTAGAAAACAAGCAGCAAGTCACCGCCATTCCCAGTGCCAGCAACAAGACATGTTTTGGGGAGCATTTTGGGAGGTCTCTGCCTCCACCTCACCGGCACCTGCTGCACGCTCTCCCCTCAGCTGTCAGGGCTAGGATCCACTGCTGCAGGCACTGAGGTTGAACTTGAAGACATCCCCTCAGCCACTGGCGGCATGAGGTGAACCAACATGGCGCTCAAACTGGAAGACATCCACTTAGCTGCTGGCGATGTATGGTGCTCAAACTGGAAGACATGTCCTCAGCCGCTGGCGACGTGAAGTAAACCGGCATTGTGCTTGAACTGGAAGGCCTCCCCTCAGCCACTGGCAACGTGAGGTAAACCAACATGGCGCTCGAACTGGAAGGCCTCCCCTCAGCTGCTGGCGGCCTGAGGTAAACCAGCATGGCGCTCGAGGTCCAAAGGGGCTCTCTGGGTGAAGAAATGAGGACTTAGAGGGGAGGATGCCAGTGCCACAGCTGCTGGATGGGAATGAGCATCCAACCGTGGGTAACATGGCGGGTCAATGGAGAATATGAAGGGGACACGGCCCAATGGCCCGGGCAGATGGAGGCCTCGGAGGCTCATGTGGAGAAGGGGAGATTTTGGGGAGAAGGCCTGAGGGGGCTCCTGTGGTGCCCAGCGGGGCCGGGAGCACCCCTGTGCCGGGCAGCCCGTGAGGAGCCGATGCCGCGGGAGCTCCGGGCTCCCGAGGGGCGCTCGGCGCTTCCGTCCGCGCCGCCCCGGGGGTTCCGCGGCCTCATGGAGGCGGCCAACGGGGCCCTGCCCGAGGGCGCGGCGGGGGGCTCCCGCGGCGGCACGGCCGCCCCCTCGGGCAAGAAGGAGGTGAAGGTCGTGATCGTGGGGGACGGCGGGTGCGGGAAGACGTCGCTGCTGATGGTGTACGCCAAGGGCGCCTTCCCCGAGGTGAGCGGGCTGTCCCGCCGCCGGGCCCCGCCGGGCCGGGGGGGCCGAGGGGCCGAGGGTTGCCCGTCCCTCCTTAGAACCGCTTCTCCTCCCTTTGCAGCAGTACGCGCCGTCCGTCTTCGAGAAGTACACGACCAGCGTTACGGTGGGGAAAAAGGAGGTCACCCTGAATTTGTACGATACCGCAGGTAAGGGACGGGGGGAGAAGGGGGTTCACGTCGTGCTCCCCATTTCCCCGCTGCCGACAGTTTGGGGCTGCGGGAGGCGGTCTGTGTGTGGCCTGGGATGGGACCTTGCTGGGGCACCCGTCTGGGACTGACCCAAACCCAGCCCCCGGCTTTGCCTAATTTCAGGCAAATACGCAAAAACTGCTTCTAGCCGCGTAAAATGCCGCTGCTGTGAACCTGCCCCTGTTTCTGTTCCAGCAGCTTTTGCTGTTTCAACTTAAACCAGGCTGATACTTTCAGGCTGTAAAGCTGGAACGTATTTTCAAACTGCTTTTCTACCGGCATATTTTGAGTGTAATAACTCAGTTAAGATTGCTGGAGGTTAAAATACAAACAAAACAACAATTCTCACCTGTTGCATGCATAAATGTGCCTTCCAGTAAAAAAAGGGTCACACATGTAACCACAGTTCTAGCCATGGACTTGTTCACTGTCTTAACAACCCGCTTTACTAAGAAAAATCACATCAAATAGCAAACATATCTGAAGGTATTAAAACCCGGTTCCCAGATGCAAAGCATAATACAATCAACCAGGAAAACATTTTAATCTCCTGCCATGTGTGATCTAATAGTGAAGGAGAAAAAGGCTGGTTTGTGTTCACAATAAAAAGGCTGTAGCTGTAAAAGTGATTTGAAAATGCTGGTAGTTTGTTCGGGTTCATTTCAGGAACTTATGAAATGGTTTGTGTTCAATTTTGTTCAAAGTTCCTAGACTTATCCAGCTGCGTTCCTAAATGAACCCTAAAATTGACACGTGCTCCGTTTCAGCTCACCGAAAATCATCTGTTTCAGTTTAAGCCTGTGGAGTTGTTCTAAATTTACACCAAGACAAATAAGAATCAAACACAGTCCATATAAATTTTTAATAGTAGTAAAACACACTTACTTTCTTGCATATAATTCACTATATCTGAATAGATGATTTTAAAGGTTTTTAATCTAAAAGTTAATTTTATTGCTAATCTTTACTGCACTGTGTCATCTACTGAGCACCCAGTTTGCTAATATATCTTCTTGTGTCAATGTTACTGTTCTTGAATCTAGGAATTTGGGTAATGTAGCTTCTACTGAAGGGCAAGGCTTTTCTATTTAAGTCTTAAAGGAAAAGAGAAGAGCTGAAATCTAGCGTGAAAGAGGGATTTCCTTAATGCTGTGTGTTGGAACAGAGAACTTGCCACAGTGAACTTGTCGAGTTTTTATGTTTCTTCACTGTTAGTGTGGAATTTTTGCCTGTCACACAGTTCTTGATACTTGGCCGGCTCATTTAAAATCAAGCTGCACTTTCCAACGTTTGCCTTTGGAGTCTTTTCCAGGCTTTAAGGAACACAGGCAGGATCCAGAACTGGTGGTAAGTAGGGCAGGTTCAGTATTGCAGCACCAAACTCTTGCAAGCCTGACATAAGTGCCCAGCTCCTTGCATCACGCAGGGAGCTCAGCTCTGTGCGAGACCCACAGCTACCAGCAGCCCAGAGAACACTCACCAAACCCGTGCTGGTGGCTTGTCTTGCCTTCTTTCCTTGTTCAGGCATGTAACTTTAGCAGAAAGTGTCTACTCTTCCACATTTAATTCACAGCTATAAATACCGTCTTGGACCAAAGAACTGCTCCATTGTAGAAGAGAGTGGGGAGTATTTTGTGTCCCATAAGACGCTTTGGGAAGTGGAGATGCCATTGTTGCCTAGTTGGCAGAGATCTCTGCCATGAAAGAGCAATTGCTTTCCATCTGTCATCTGGAAATATTGAAACCCAACATGTTTCACCTCCCACAACAGCGTCATGGCCACCAGGCTGCAAGTTGCTAAGAGGATGCTGACACTTGTCTCCTTCCTTCCTGTTAAATTTCTTTTGCTTTGCATGAGACACATGAAGATTATCAGGTGCAAAGAAAAGGGGGACATTCCCACCCTAGTTAAGGCATTTGGTTGGGAGTGAGAAAGGCTTGAGTTCTGTTTCTGTTTCAAAGCTGCTTACATAGTTTATATTACAGATCTGTGTCATACTCTGTGATTCAAGCAGCTTTTCATCCTCTTCCTGAAGCTGGAAGTTACGCTTGAGGAAGAGCTCACTTGAGCACACATTTTAATCCCATCCTGTTTTTAATAATACAACACTGATTTTGAGTGCCATGAGGATTAGACTAGGACCAAGAGTTGTGTCCTGTCCTCTCAACTCAGGTAGTGCAGTAAGAGAAGAGCAAGGGGAGTGTCCAGTTCAGGAGATGAGAGCTCCTGTCTCTCTGCCACGTGGATGCAGCATGGGAGATGCAGTTTTGGAATCGGTGCCTCACGATGTTGACTTGCTTCTGCCATACCACACAGCAGCTCATTAAGTTCCTCTCTCAGCTGGGTGATGATGGTCTGGGGTGGGTGTTCAGCAGCAGTTGCAGCTTAAAGGGGAGTCTAAACATATACCTTATTACTAGAAGTACACTGGTTTAATCATGCAGCATATTAGCTGTATTTTATGAATCATCTTCTGACTTACTGAACTGCTTGAATTGGTCTCACTTTTCTCTAAAATCCTAAGACAGCTTTATGCTTCTGTTTTGCTTCTCATTCTGAAAAGTTCCCAAATCATTCAGATTATCATAAAGTCATTTAAACGGGATCAAAAGGATGTAAAACCATTTCTGAGGTGAAGGGCTTCAGATAAGTGTCATGTAGCACTGTAGCGGAGGAGAAGGTAAGGCTGTTCTTTGAAAAAGTGTCACCACATCTTCATGATGTATCCACTGCAGAAAGGACTTCAATATTTTTAGGATCTTGCTAAGAGCAATACTGAATAAAGCTGTGTGTACGTCAGCGTCCTGGGAAGGTAAAGGACAGGTTCAGCTCCGTGGACTGTTTAAAGTTAGAAGAATTCTTTGTATTGTCAAGTCCTGTGCAGCTTGAGAGTTTGAGCTCGTTCTACTTACTGAAGGAGGAGGACACAAACAAAGTGCCTAAGAATCAAACATTTCAAGCTACAAAAGGTACTTTTTTTGACAAGAATTTGGTTAACAAATGAAGTTAATGAGTGAATCTAAAATATGCTAGAATAACATTTTTTGGTGAGACTTTTGTACTACGCTACTCTGTCTTCCTCATCAGAAACACCTCTTGCTGTTGCAGGAAGTTGGTGGTATACCTACGCAATGTGTAAAGGCTTTGTAATAGCACTTGTCTTGCCTGCAAACAGGCATTGCAGCTGCTTATTCAATTAAAAGTTTCCATTTCTTGCTGTGCTCAACAGAAGCAAAGGCATTGAGAGGTAAATTAACTCCGTAATTTTTTGCACACCAAGGGAGCGGCGTCGATGCTTTAGCTGCAGCTCAGACACAAGGTACAATTTCTGTCGCCGTTTGGCACAGGGCTCTCTCAGACTGGGGAGTGCTGTGCTGAGCTGGGGAAGGCTGGGGAGGAAGTAATGCCTCATCATTGTGGGTGCTCGCTCTGACTGGCAGGAAGCACATGCAAAGCCTCCAGCGGGGTTTTTCAGGTCTGTAATGACAGATGCACAGCACTCAGGCCTTAAGAGGAATTTTAAAAGCTGATATATGCCAGGATAAATTTTTATAACTTTGAAAAGGAGGGTGTGGCTAAGGAAGACGGAAAACCCACAAACTTTTTAATTTTAGGACACCCTAAGTGTCCTCATCTACTCGTTTTATTCCTGCTAAGAATGTCTCTTTCCTAATTTTGTTTAAACTGACCAGTGAAAAACCATAGCTGGTAAGCTAATAACTGCAGTGTTCCCGTGGAGCCTGCAGAGTAACAAATCAAAGAGAATTGGGTGCATTTCTGTGTGCCTGTGGGGGCTCACCATCGCACAGGTCCATGTTGATGCTAAACCACAAGTGTGGAGTATTGCAGACAACATGTGGCCATACATAGGAAGTGGTCGGCTGGCACGGACCGCGTGGCAGGATATTACATTCTTCCTGACCCACTGGCAGTTGGTGGCAATGGACAGGGCTGCTGTACATTAGGACAGCACATACTGGTGGCCTTCTGGGCTAGCAAGTCTTGACTCTGTTGTTTTACCCCCTTCTGTCAATGGCAATGGCTGCTGAGCTCCTTTATGGACTGAGCAACGCGCAGGCTGGCACGTCTTCACAGCAGTGTTATCTTACATGTTTATTTTCTCCGTTTGCTTAAAAAAACAAAACTGTGCAGCTAGTTTTGAAGATGAAGGTGCAGTTCACTGGGGCATTTCTATAGCTTTTGACTTGCAGTGCAGCATATTTGTGTCACATCATTGAAGACACCTCTTCTGTTATCCCATCCAGGATGGTATGGGTTTAGCTGTATGCTCCAATTCCAGGCAAACTAATGTGTTTCTTCCAAGGGCACAGTCCTGTTCCCAGCAGTAACTTGGAGGACCTTTTGATTTTACAAGCTACGCTAGTAGAGGCTCAGAGGCATGAACTTGAACAGGGAAAATTACACACAGCACATAACACTAGAGGAAATTAGAAAAAAAAAATAATGTTTGGCACCTAATGTGGTTAATGCATTTAGAGGATTATCTCAACAACAAAATGGTAAATCGGTTGCAAACAAGTAGGTGGATTTGGGAGAATAAGAAGGGCTAAGTAGCACAGTCTTTTGCTCTGAGTGTTTATACAACATGCATAATTTTGTCAATTGTTTATTATTTCTGGATTAAACACTGAGGGATCAATCCTCCTTTGTTCTGCACGTCGCCCACAGAGCACACTGCTTTTGTGGGAGCTCAAATACAGTGGTCCAAACCTAGGATTCCTGTTCTACAAACACCTTGGGCAAACTGAGTAATGGCTATGCAGTAGGGATTGCCTTGTATCTCGATCTGTATCTCGACCTGTATCTCGATCCATCCTTTAAATTAAGGAGGGAGGTAAAATAGTGTAGAATTATTTGCCTCCTGGTATCTGCAGTTCTTCAGACCACAGGTTGAGACAAGCACGTTGGCTGGAGTGATGGCACCCTGCTCAGTCCCAGTCACAAGGCAGGTAGTTGGTATAAAGTTGGGGCACGCTGAAATTTTCAGCAGCCCTTCATTTGAAGTATCAATAAAAGACTTGAGACGTGTAATTTCCCCTCTAGCACAGTTTCTGGCTGTGTGTACATTGTTGTGATTATGGGAAGCCAATGGCATTCCCAGTTCTTGTTTTGGAAATTCAGTGGATCACGGAGACATACCTGATTCCAGGAGCAGCATTCAGGTGGCAGACAGTTCTACAAACCGCTCGAATCATAGTTTCTTCCTTATTAAGTCTCTGAAAAAAATCTCAAATGAAAAAGATTGGGGTTTTTTCCTGAGCTGCCAACTGTATCTGGTAATTACTGCTTTCTTGAACTTAATCTCTCAAAGCAAGACACCTTCAGATGCCAGCACGGATATGACTGCTAAGTCATGTGTGCAGCAAGGGGAAAGAGTACAGGTCTGAAGCAAATTAGCTTCCTCTTGCCAGATCATGTACTAGAACATCCGTAATCACAAGTATGACAAATCCTCTGCTTTTTCCAGAATCCATGAGCATCCCTAAGATCTGCTGTGTAGTCCTGCTTCAAAGACCAGTTAAGCCCAGCTCCTTGTTGTAGCAAGCCGTGCAAAATCACCTTCGTGCTGGTAGAGCGAGCAGTGGCTCTGAAGGCACAGAGTGCTAATTGCTGCTTCCTCTCAGCTCACCGGGCTGGGAAAAGCAGGTTTCCCCACTTAAGATTTTTTTACTTCAGTGTTTGCGTCTGGCAAATACAGCGTTTCTTCTCCTCACAGCATCGCATGAGCAAATGGATTTGGGAGAACAGAGCCACTGCCAAATTGCAAATGTTTTAGTCGATAACTGTCAGATTCCTCTTGTTGATCTTGCCTGTGAGCAGCGACTTGGCAATCGGCGATTAGAGCTGCTTCTAAGTACTTAGCAGGTGGACAAAGCAGGCTTTTTATTAAAACTTGCCAAAGACATGTTTTATATTCTAAAGCATTGCTTTTGTCAGTGAAGAGGAAACTCCTGCATTTAAAGGGAAGGAATTTTACAAGTATGGAAAACTCGCAGTCTGTGCAACTGTAGCACCATTGTTCTTGATCTCAAGTATGTATCTTTACATATTCCCATCATGCTGCTTGTTAAGGGCGGGGATTTCTTTTACCAAAACGTTCTCTTGTCTTTCAGGGCAGGAGGACTACGATCGGCTACGACCACTTTCTTACCAGAACACAAACGTCATATTGATTTGTTACGATGTCATGAACCCCACTAGCTATGAGAACGTAACAGCTAAGGTAAGAGGCTTTTGTAATTGCTTCAACCTTTTAAATGAATTAGATACACCTGATATATGACGAGATGTCAGATTAGAAAAGCTGATGCTTTTAGTGTCCTGTGCCCTGGGAGTATAGATGCATCCATCACTCACCACGTGCTGAGCTGCAGGTCACAGACCTTAGACCTTGGGCTCACCCCTCTATGGCTCCTGAGTACCCAGAACTGGGGGTGACTCCACTGGGCACTGCAAAGATCCAACACCACTGGTGAAATCGATGCTTTATCTGTAGTGATGTCACACGACCAACATTGCACACAAGCACTTTAGATTAAAATCTGCTTCCATCACATCTAACTACAGGGGAGAGAGGTAAAAAACCACTTGTCTGTACTAGGATTTCTGTAACGATCTGAAGTAGAAGCTGGAGTTCCTGTACATAGCACCAGCAAAACAAAGCAAGACTTGGTCCAAATTCTGCTCTTAAATACGACTGTAGAGGAGCTCTTCTGAATTTAAACAGATGTTAAATAAGCACTTTGGCATAGAGACAGATGCTACCTCTGTTTTTATAAAGGAACTGACTTTGGGTAGAACTTTTAAATGTTTCTGTAATGTAAATAGTGCATGTTGGGCCCTTAACACTAGATTAACAACTTTCAAAACTCTGAAATTGGAGCATATATTAAATGCTCCTTGGCTTTATTGTTTCAATTTCAAGGGGGGTGGGGAAAAAAGTGCCAGATGTAAGTTTTGTTTTTCTACCATTAGTGGTATCCTGAAGTGAATCACTTCTGCCGGGGTGTCCCGCTCGTACTGATCGGCTGCAAGACCGACCTTCGGAAAGACAAAGAACAGCTGCGCAAGCTCAGGGCTTCCAAGCAGGAACCCATTACTTACAACCAGGTAAATATAAGTGCATTTAAAGTGGTGTCCTCTTTGCAAAAGATAAAGCACACTTACTTCAGTGGCATTGTTCCTCACAAATGCAATCACAGATAGGCTAAAATTAGGTGATCACAATGGCCAGATAAAGAAGTTACTGACAGTCAGCACTATCAGGGGTTTCTGTAAGTGCTTTTTGGAAGTGGCCAAATCACCACCCATTTTTTGTAAAGAGAAATTTGAAGACTGTTTTGCATATATCAGGGTGTCCTTTTGGACTAGTAGCTACACCTTCTAGGCTTATTACATCTCATTCTTGTTTCCTTTCACAGGTGGGTTACTCCTATTACAGATTTGTAACCCTTGACAAGTTTGTTCCTCCTTCATAATTTTTATTAGGATACATTGCTCCCATCACTGGTACTTTGATCAGGATTGTGAGAAATCCTAGCTTCTCCAGGCTACACGTTACAGGACTAAAAATAATGACTCTTCTGGAAGGAAAAAAAAAAAAGTGCTTTGCAAACCCTATTTAAAAATAAATCCTTTCAAGGACAATAGCAAAAACATCTGCAAGGCTTCTCTAACACAAGAGCCTTTTCTTTGAAGTCTCTAAAGTAACTAAAAAAAATAATCTACATATTATCAAATGTTTTCAATTTAAGTATTACAAAGCAGCAAGACTTAAAAGTAGTGTTACAAGACTGGCATAGTTACAGGAGAAACAGTCAGTGGTGGAACAGCTTGTCCCATGTCACGCCAGACCTTTGTGCTCTGGTCTCCCACTTCTTTCTTTTTTAAACTACAAATCCATCCTTCTCCTCTCATCTCAGAGCAAGAACAGCAGCCTTCAAATTATCTGAGACCCAAATCTAGGGAACAAGGTTAAGTGCACTAAGACCTTGAATGAATCACTCCTTCACTGAACAGCATGAAAAGAAACTGCAACTGCATCATCACTAAACCACACTGGGACTTTTTGCTTGCTCACAAGAGGAGATGCCCATCTGTCACTGTGAACAACTGCAGATTGTCCCTCATTTGCATTAATAACTCCCCCTTCATCACACTCACACATGAGGCTCATGGCAAGCAACAGACACTTTTGGCAAGTCTGCTGAGGCCTCATGCAATTAAATTCCAGGCCCCACATGATGTACAAACTTTGTCTCCTATGTGGACCCTCCCACTTGGTTTTTCTCCCCTTAAATATACACTACCTCAGTCTTTTACAGCTGTTGGCATCTTGAGTCACGCGACATCACACTTCCGATGCCAGGCACAGAGGAGCTGAACAGTATCTGCCAGCACAGCAGCTTGCAAACTGGAAGGAGACAAACTTCACTTAAATCTGCTGAAGAAAAATCCCCCTATAGAAGCCTGAGTGCTCAAGTGACCCCACTCCCAGAGCTTATAATGAATAAATGCAGTTTGTGAGCTGTGGGTTGCAGACCTGGAATTCACGCTCTTAAGGCTCACAAGCATTCAAAACTGGGGGCTGACTCTCCAATGACAGTGAAAGGACCACAAGCAAAGTAAGAAATCACTGTGTTTTGTCTGTAGTGATTTCACACAACCAGGATTGCATGCAAATGTTTTAGATTCTAGTCTGTCCCCATTGCATGCCTTTGGGTGAGGCTGAGAAATGCAGGCACCCATTTCTCTGTATGAGGATTTTGGCTGAGCCCTTGGGATGCTCCAAAGCAGAAGTCAGGGATTCCTGCATGTGCACCAGCAAAACAAGGCAAGACATTGGTCCAGATTCTGTTCTTGCATGTGACCTTCATTACTAAAGGTGACATCCCATAATAGTTAAGGTCAGGCCTGAAAAAATATCGCCGTGTAGGCATCTTATCCGCACTTAAGTATCTACCTCAGCATTTTTTTTTGAACAAATTTAATACTAAAAATATTTTTACGCTATCAGCAGTGTGCATCTTAGAGTCTCTAATGCACTGAACTGTTAGGTCAGGCTCTAGGTCAACATAGGGGAAAAAAGCTAGTGTATTTAACACTGCCTCAGTTTATTAACAATGCCACTTCTGCTCTAGCACTATACTGGAGGGAAGCTTCTTTCTTCCTGACCTCCTGATACGAAGACGTACAAAATAATTCCCTGTCCCATCTCACCTTCCTTCTCTTATACATGGGGTTTACACATTTTCTTACCTTTTCTCTTTCCAGGGTGAAGCAGCTTGTCAGCAGATTAATGCAGAAATTTATCTGGAGTGCTCAGCAAAATGTCGTGAAAACATAGAAAACGTTTTTAAAGAAGCGACGACCATTGCACTAAATGCCATGAAAAAAGCCAAGCGCCAAAAGAAGCAGAGAGTGTGCTCAGTGTTATGATCTGGACTGCAAGAGAACATTGACTGCACAAGAGCAAAGTGATTCAGATTTTAAGAACAGTTTAACTTTAAAGACCTTTTATTTTTTTTTGTTACATGTTTGTATTCTATGAAAAATTTTTATTTTAAAATTTTAATTATTTTTAGTATTTTTGCACTTTTGTTGCACTGCTCTCACAAAGTCTTCAAAGTTCTTTATCAAGGCTTACCAACGCTGTGTGCCTTCATCCATCTCACTTTTGCTCCTAACTGCAAACGACCCCCAGTCAGGTCTGGGACTTGCTATTTAAATTGCAATGAACAGTGACTGTTACTGTATGTTAATCAGTGGTGGGTTTTTTAACTCTGCAGAATAATTGTGGCATATTATAGCTACAATTTACTGTCTTTTTCAAGCACAAAAAGCACATCTTTTTAGATGTGATGTTAGAGCAGCTTATCAGGCACCTTTGAAGAGACAGAAATGAAGTTCTGTCTGTTGAAATTAATTTCCTTGGTAGCAGTGGTACGAGTTCGCCTGGAGCTGCCCCCAGGGTGCACAGATGGAGCATCCACTACTGTCCCTGCAGTAGTGGGGCTTTGCAGAGCTGCACCTGTAGAGTCTCCTTCAAGGACTGCTGCTGTAGTAGAAAGAGGTATTTTATCAATGGAAACACATTGGCTGCTCCAATTCAGAAATGGAATATCATGGAAAATATTTACAGCACTCAAAGTTAGAAGTGCTCCAAGCAGCCACTATGTGTAACAATGTCAGTTTTACAATAAACTTACACAGCTTATTTAACACACGACAGATGCAAATACTGGTGCATGCTAGGGGAAATATTAAACTCATGTTCATTCACTGATGAAATCATCTCCACTGCTATAAATTAAAATTTTCCCTTTTGTCATGAAGGTGTTAGTTGTCTGTTTAAGGATGAGGGATGCTCCCAGACTGCACAAACTCGTACACGTGCCTCAAATCTAGTTCTTTTACACATCCCATGCAGCGAGAGCTCAGATTTCAGGAGCAATCACTAGTTTGTCGCCATCCTATAAACCAAACCCATGCAGGGAGGATTTTGCTGCACAGGTGTTGCTGAAAGCTTTCTGTGTAAGGCAAACTGCAGCCCATCCTAAGATTTTGATCTTTGAAATCTTACCTTTTATTTCCTCTATCTCATTTTGATTTGTTTGTGCATCCCTACAAGCTTAAAATGGAAAATTTAAGAAAAATAAGGTACCAGCTCGTGCACATCTTTACTGTATGTTCTGATTTGTTTGTGAATCCCTACAAGCTTAAAATGGAAAATTTTAAAAAAAAAAAGGTACCAGCTCGTGCACATCTTTACTGTAGAAAAATCTTGAAGAATTTTGTAGCCCTTTCTCCACCAGAAGACATTTGTCAGTAAGACACAGAACCACGCATCACCTTACCCAGTATGAAACTGAAACCTCAACGCGCAGGAAGTTACTGCATTTACCCTCATCTCCAAGGCAGAGATTTCTTGCTTTTTTAATCAGTTTCTCATGCTGCAGAATTCAAGTTACTCACCACGTGCAGAGCTCCCCACCCCTGGAGAAGCAGGTCCACTGCTCAGATCCAGCAGGCTCCAGCATTGCTCTCAAAACAGAACAATTTATATCTGGAGAGTTCAAAGGATTAAAGGAAAAAACCAAAACTTCACAGGGTGTGCAAAAGACAGGAGTTAATATAGCAAGATACAGCCCAGCTAGTGCGAAAGTTGTTCAAAATATGCAAATTGCAATTTATTTTCATGCCCACAGGACAGTAACACTGTAAAGGTAATTTTGCTTGCCTCGCAGCAACAGAAGAACTGATGAAACCATTTCAAGTCTGTAGTGCATAAATATTTCTTCATGACTACGCTTACTGGGAGAAGGACATCGTTTTCAGATCACGCTCTGCCAAAGCCATTTGCCCAGTTTGGGCTTTCGGCGGCTCAAAGGAAGCCCTTGACCTTCAGGAAAGAGATGGCCTAAAGCAGCTCATGATACCACAGCTGGCCTTAGGGAGGTACAGATGTTAAAGCACCCAAAACAAGCTTCTTTGAATGAGTAAGTGTAAGTTCAAGCAGCACAAGAAGTTAAGCAGGATGGGAGTCGGGATTTGTCTTCCACATTCCTTCTGAATGAGTGTTTACATTCTCTTAATTATTGGTAGAAGCGCAGCATCTAAAGAAAGCATTTAGTATTTCTGCTCAGCCTGTCCTTCCCTTTCCAGGACAGTGCTGGGAACAAAAAACACACTGAAAACAGAAACCAAAGTTCAACTGCACTTTTGCCACTGATCAAGGTTATTTTAAGGAAAAACGGTGTCTTGGAAAAAAACCACCCAAAGGATTTGTTATTAAAAAGGGGCTGAAGCAGCTGCATATTGAATGGTTTATTTTAGGTCTTTTCCAGGCCTGGACAGAGGACCTGGTCTCCCTGGAGGAAGGCTAGTGGACTTCCCTGCCATTTAACAACTCATTTTGCTTGCTTATTTTTGTTTTTGAAAGAGGATTTCTCCTCTTTAAATAGCTTTTTAAAAGTGTATATAGCAGCAGCATGGTACAAAGATGGGCATATTTTTTTTTTCACAGTACACACAGGTTAGTATTGCCACTGAAAATATGCCTTAAACAAATGCCTTTAAAAAAACAATTCAGTCTGTATTTACTGGTCAGCCTGGAGTGTTTCATAAACCTTTGCAAATCCAATAGCTAGAATTTAAATAATAAAACCGGAAAGTGTTAAATATCATTCCAGAATTGGAATTACAGTAGATCCCACATTCTCCCCAGCGCTGGCGCATGTTGCTCTATATACAGAAAGAAAAACAAACCCCAAAGCGAACGTGTTTTGTATTAAATAATAGATAAATATAGCAGGACAGCGGACTGGAGAGCCATGCTTGTGTAATACTGAGTCTGTGCTGGCAGAGTCCCTGTCCTTCACCAAACACGGGGATGGACGAGGCCTTCCCAGCCCATCCATCATGTAGTTGGGGTCTCACAGGATCTGTCCCCAACCCAGCGGGCAGAGGGAGGGCAGCCAGCACGCCGGGGACGGGACAGGGGGGTTCACAGCTTCTTCATTTTGTCTTTGTTTTTCTGGAGTTTAGTGTGCACCACTTTGAGAGTAGTGAGGAAGTTCCCGAGGAAGAGCAGCAGAAACGTGAAAGCCAACACGAAAACCTGAAAAAAAATGGAGAAAAAGAGGAGGGGGAGAAGGTGAGAGCTGAGGGTACTGTTTGGCAAGATTTAAATGAGCTCTGGTGGGGCTTGGTTGGCAAGTCCGGGGTTCATTAGCACATGAGAATATTGTAGCCAAATATGCCTTCGTGGGTGGGTCAACAGGATGTATATTTTTATCAGGGGTTTGTTAGCACATGAGAAGATCGTAGCCAAATATACCTTCATGATCCCCAACTGGGTGGGTCAACAGGATGTATATTTTTATCGTGATCACTTAAGTAGCATTTACTACTTTTAAATATTACAACATGGATTATATTCAGCATTGCTGGACTCTTATCAAAATCAAACCATTAAATCCAATCTAATGAACAGCAGTGGCACAGGCGTGGGGGAATGATGTGTTTCTCTGGGAAGCTCTGTTGCTCCTCTTACACCAGTGAAGTAGGTGAGCACACCAGATAGATACAGCAAGATCTGACCAAAATTAAGACCATCACATTATCTGCACATGTGATGGGGTCCAGTCTGGATCTACAGGAGCAACTGTACAGATGGAAAATGGGCAGATGTGTTTGATGGGTGACAGCAACTGAGAAAACAAGTCAAAGGATCCTTATGAGTGGGGCAATAAAGTGGATAATAGGTTTTTAAAGTGATTCACTGCCGTCGTATTTTTGTATGTGTAACCCATGGATCAACCACAAAGGAACCACCAGCAGCTCAGCAGCCATTGCCATTAAACATCTGAATACATAAAAAATATGGAGAGATACTTACCCTCACACACTCTGCCTTTCAGTTTGTGTGGTCACACACGGGTGTGAGTTCACCGACAGTAACTCACATTTATTTGGAGTTCTCTTGTATAGGCTCTGTGCCACATCACTCTGATATACTTAGACGGGGTAAGATGCCCAAGTATCTTTAAGGATGTGATTAAACACCCCCTCATCCCCCCAGCTCTGTGCTTTCTCTGAGCAGAACCAACACCTACCTGCCATTCTTTGCACTCCTTATGCCTCGACAATCCAAAAAGAGTGATTGCATTATATAGCTGCCAGAACTACAAAGGGAAAAAAACAAAACCCAATTTCAATACTAGCAAAAAAACCCCAAAAATACCCAACAAACCAAAACCTTAGAAACATTTGCTACGGGTGTGTGGGATGCAAAGCACCTTTTTATGGGGCTGCAACCACAACAGCAGACCCTCCCAGCTCCATGCAGCAGAGGGAGGAATGGGACTGTCCAACTTACATGCCCACAGAACAAGAAGGGAAGGAGAAACGTCAGCCCCCGCCACATCCAGGACTGAAATCCTTCTGGAAAAGGTTAATAGAAGAGGCAGAGAGTGAGCACAGAACAGAGCCAGGACCAGAGCTCCAGCCTCCCCCTCCCAGACCACCCCATAAGAACTATTCCTGTCCTCTGCAGTAACCAACCAATTTAAAATATATACTTGAAGGAGTGATAATGGGAGGAGGATGAAGATGGGGATAACCAAAACCTCCATCTTAGCCCTCTCAAGAGCTGGGGGAGATCAGAGCCCTCTGCTCCCAACCCCCAGGACCCGAGGAGGGGTGGCAGTTCTGCAAAGCTCATGCTTAAAGGCCACACAGCCCTCTCCCTATCACAGCATCTAAAAACCATGCAAAAACTGTGCAAACCAAGTATTGCAGAAAACCTCACCTACTGTAAGGTCCAAGTGGTTTCTCTCCCCCAAAGCACGGAGTCTATAAAGGCAGCCCCTTTGATAATAATATTGTAGGAACTGAACACAACCTGGAGGAGAGAAAACATCATTGCATTGGCTGTTCAGCAGTATGATGAACATATGAAACTATTTTAATAATGTTTAATCCAACAGCATTTCATTATTGTTTATATTTGTACATTGTATTTTTGTTTTCTATCTTTGTATTTCCACAGTTTAATAATCCAGTATTTACCAAGCAGAAGTATTTTCTTCTAAGCACATAAAATACAAAACCATTTTAACCAAGGTAAGATATACTCACTCTGAAATATTGAAAACGCTAAAAATTGACTGCGAAACATTTGATACATGAGTCCATCTGGCCTGAAAGCAAAACACAAAGGAGGTTTATTGGTTTGATAAAAAGCATACGATGCAGTGCCCTTCCCCTTCTCAGCCAAACTGGATCCCTTGAGCAAACGAAGTGAGCCCTGGTACCCAGCCCATTCCACCCCATCGGGAGCCCAGAGAGGGTGCTAAAGCTGCACATCCCAACCCCAGCACGTAGGAAGCCCTCTCATTGATTAGGTTTCCCCTCCCCAACACATAAGTTCTTCCTCCTCTAATGCATTTGTTTCTCACAGCTTTCTCTGCGCAGCAATAAAGCCGATCAGCAGCAAGAATCCAAGCCGTGGAGCAGGGGGTGGTTGTGCTCCTTCTCCTAAGGGTAGTTCAGGATAGAACATTTGTTGCTGTTTTAAAACATTTTTTTAATTATTAACTAAAATCAGTGGATGCCAAATTTGAACCAGGTTGCCCAGGGGCCAAACAGGGGGTGCATCTCCAAACTGTTTGACCTACAGCACCACTCATGTGAAGGTACCTGGCAGTTTTGGCTTGATACTTTGTAATCTGGGTCCAGAAAAGGCACCAGAGTTCATTTTGTAGTGTCCTCCCTCTAAAGCAAAGCGCTGCTCGTTTGCTCAGTTACACAGAGACAGAAATGGGGAGTCTTGCAGAGGTTTTGCTACCATCAGCACAACTATGGCTCAGGGTTTGGGTTTCTTTCTTTCCTAAATCAGCAACGTAAATATTTGCAGTGTTGTATTTATCACTGAAAACATCTGCAACATCCGACAGATCCTAAGCCCGATGCTTCGCCGTGTGCCCGCGTGGCCACAGCTTCGTGGTCACGCTGGATTTAAATGCTCAGAGGATGCAAATGCTGTGAAATGGGCTTGAAGCCCCTGGAGCAGGCGAGAGCAGACTCACCACGTTAACATCACTCCAGACAGGAACGTGGAAACGTAGTGATGAGACACCCACCAGCCTTTGATCCTGAACAGAAAGAAAAGGGGCAGTTAGGCAAGAAACATGGATTTTAGCACTGTAAGTCTGGCTTTATAGACAAAAAACGATCCTGACTTGGGGATGAATAAAGGACAGGGAACAAAACAGACAGCCCAGCTCCAGGAAAAGGGTTGCTGTGGAGCAATGTCCTGGCAAAATGGCCTGTTTGGGGGCACAAATCCACGACTGGTGGAGGGAGGCTCAGGACTGGGGCACATCTTGTGTGCTCCCACGAGCTCTCCAGCACAGCAAGAAGCAGCAGTTCCCACAGAACAAGGTGCCATGGTGACTAATGATGCAGAATTTTCAGCCCACACACCCCTTTTTTTCTTCCGTGCCGTGCAAATAAGTGACATTTCCAAGTCCTTCCTATGAGGTGGCTGTTTCTTTCAGACACAAACAGCGCAGAAAGCTCAGAAAATTACAGTAAAGTGAGCAAGGGACAGCGTTGCTTTGGAAACTGAGCCAACACAGTGAGTTCATTTGGGGCATTTCCAACCAAAGGTGTGTGACCAGGACAGCATCCCAGTCACTGCGACCAACCTCCATGGATGCAGCAAGCCCAGGCTCAGAGGTTTCTCTGCTGGCCTTGGGCAAGCAATTTTACATCCCCATGCTTTTTTTTTTTTCCCCTCTTTGTCTCCAGCCCTACTGCGATCCCCCCCTCTCTGGAAAGCACCCCAAAACAAGACATCCCCCCCCATGGCAGCCCTGGGATCAGCCGTGCTTGCAGAAGAGACTGCTTCATCCCTGCTGCCCACGGTCAGCGCTGGGAACTGTGTCCTCAAACAGATCCCAGAAGTCAGCCCATTTTTAAGATTTTTGCCCCTGGGCAAAGCAAGGGGAGCCTGATTTTCCCACCACACATGCCACACCAGTGTCTGCCTCCAGGCACAAACCCCCTCTTGCATCAGGAGCAGGGACCACAAGCATCCCACCAGAAATGCCCACATGGGACTCCCAGACACACTCCCTCCCATCCCCATTTTGAGGAGATCATGGAAGCAACTGGCTTCAGTGAAGGAAGTGAGTGGCTGAAACAAGGAGCCAAAAGCTGCAGCCAGCTGATCATTAGGCATTGCCACTTAATTAAGACAACACTGACTCCTGCCACTAATGCTGGTCCACTCCTGTACAGCACCACTACGAGGGAGCAGAGTGTCCTCTGTGCAGCGTTCAGAGTAGGAATGAGTGCATGAAGCTGGGCTAACATGATGCTGGCTGCTCAAAAGGAGGCAAATGAGTCACATTAGAAGCCCAGTTAATTAATGCAACAGGGAGCTGCAAACGTTGCTGCAGCAGCAGCCACTCACCAGCTGCAAAGCAACAGGCAGCCTCACGCCTGGGAGGAGATGTGGCGATTGCTGTGGTTTCCCTGCACCAGCCCATCTGGATGATGAAAACCAGGGACATGCAACCATCAGGTTATTGCTAAAATCTAACACCAGACTCCAGGTTAAGTTACACAAGTGCAAATTGGAGCAAGTTCTCAACCCAGGCCTAATAGAGATGCTCCAGGAGTGATTCACCAGCAGGACCTCATCACCCTGCCCTAGGACACGTGGTGCCATAAAGAAAGGAGGGATTGGAAGAAGGATCATCTTTCAGTTAATATCTCCCAGCGTTTTACTCATGTTCCCAGCTCTTTATACAATTATCTCCGAACCACCAAATTTCCCTCAAAATTACTCCAATTTAGTCAAATGCTTCAGGAGATGCAGCAGTGACCTGTGGGGCAGCCACACCAACCACAGGGTGTAGAGCCAGTACCTCAGGTTGGTCCCCTCACCAAAAACACACACTCCAGACCACATCCACAACTAACCCACAGCTACCAAGAACATCCAACACTTCAGACAAAGAGCTTATGGACTTTTAGGAACTGCACCTTCTCCTCCCTCCTCAAATCTTAGGTGGCCACATCTGCCCTTGGAAGTGAGGGAGAAGGAGACAACTGACCCTGCAGAGAGGCATCAGCATCTCCAATTTGCTGGGGTTTCAGCATCAAGCTGAATCTGCTTTTGTGGATTGTTTTTCTCTTAAGGACATTTCATGCTTTAAATAGTTTTCGCAGGTGGCACGGTACCTGGATCCATTGCTAATGAGAATGCTTTCCCGTATCGTCAGCGTGCAGTAATACCACACTAACAGAAAGTTAAACACTTCATCTGTCACCCTGTCAAAAAGAAAAACACACAGTTAAAAAAAAAAATAAAAATAATCCTGTTAATTATAAAGACACATTCAAAAAAATCAGTATTTTTCCTCCCTCCCTTTGGACAAATGAAAACCTGCCCAAGTGAGGCCACAGACACAAAGTCTCAGTCCTGAACATCTCTAATCCACATGCAGAGCCACGAGCACTGGCAGCACCACCAGGCTTAGAGTCCTCTCCTCCAGTAAGTGCCCCGTGATATAACACTGCAGATCTTGAGCTGATAAGCAGGTATGCAGAGATGACATTAATTCCTTCCGAAGGAGAGAAAGCACCATGGAAGCAGCGGATGATCCAATTTAGAGAGGCATTTCCAGGCTAATTCAATGAGGAGATTCCATGAGATCTATATAAATCCAATCAACTAAAAGAGCAGAAGAGCATTACACTCGGGGGGGAAAAAAGCCTTTATTTTGCCATTCACAAACCCTTGAAGCCAAGGGGATTTGGGACAGCCTCTGCATACAGCAGCATCACTCTTTGATATGATCCTGCACTCACCCAGACCCAGTGGAAGTGCCCAGCCCCAACATTTTCCTGTTTTTTAAGCAAAACTGAATACTGGAAGCTCATTGGTGCTCAGATACTTTATCTGTGACTCAGAGATAACGTTTGAGGTCTGGTCATTTCATGTAAATCCTCTCTGGTTGCATTTGCAAGCCCACAGTTGCAACACGGTGCTGGTCCCTGCCTGGGACAACCCACGAGCAAAATCAACTGCTCATTCCAAAGCACAGCATGATACCAGAAAAGCAACACATCAGGAAACACGATGTTGAACTTCTCTTAGTTACAAGAGACTCCAAAAAAAGTTAAACAAGGAAAAGCAAGTAGTGAAAACACAGGTCCTGCTGGTGTTGGAGGTGTAAAAGCCATCCTGCTGTCCAACTATTCAAAGCCTAAACGTTGCCTGAGCCCATCTCACCATCCTTAACAGAAGGCAGTCCGAACCCAGGACACTTATGCAAAATACTTGATCAGAAATAAAAATGCAGGCTTACCTGTAGTGAAGAATAAACCTGCAGGCGATGGCCCCAAGTAACAAGATTATTGTCAGATAAAGTTTGAACTTCTCATACTCGTCCTTGTAGGCAAACCTGGAAGGGAAGAGCCACTGTTTACAGACACAAACGGGTGTTTTACCAGAATGAAGCTTCACTGTTTTCAAACCAGATACAAATCCAAACGCTGAGCCCAGAGACAGAGGTTTTGCTTGAAACATTTAAAAAACCAGCAGACGGCAGTGAAAGGCAGTGTTCTGCCCGCAGGGTCTGTCTAGGCTGCAAGGCCATTACATTGAAGGACAATGGCTTAAGTCCATAAGAGCTGGTTTCTGCACTGGCATGGTAAGATTTTTTTTTTTAAAAACCAAAACACCTCCATTTTCTGAAGCACTCTATGCCTAGAAGCCACAATACCATTTTCATTGCAAAAAAATAACCCCTTCCAATGAAGACAACAGGCTGGTCTTAAAAGCCAGTGATGGACAGAACTGATCAGAGCTACATGAAGTGTTAGCTTGGCCCCATGTCATGGTCCAACCTGCCCACCCTTGGCAGTTCATCTTTTATCAGATCCAAGAGAAATTCATTCCCATCCCTGGACTTTAGTCCATGTCCACGAATGGCCCCAGAGTAAACCCAAATTCACACACATGGAAACACCCACTCACTTTGCTTGGTTACTCAGGAGAGTTACATTCACATTTCCCAGCACCAGATTTAAGTACAAGCTGGAAGACAAAAAAAAAAAAAAAAAAAACAGAACACAAGATCAGATCCAGGTAAGTTATTTTATTTCAACACCATGAGATGACCCAGATCGGAGCTGAAAATTCTGGTATATTCAAAGAAGCCACATTTGCTGTAGGTTTTTAATTAAGGCAAACTGGAGAGATAGACTACAGAGGGGAATTTAAACGTGGAAAGATTGTTCAGAATTTCCAAGAAGTTAGAAAAAAAGGGTTGTTTTGCTGGTCCCTCTTCTGTGCTACAATCTGAAGTTGAGATATATAGCGTGCACTGTCCAAAACCAAAAATAACGGGGAGAAATTGGAAGAAGAGTTTGATAGAAACTTCTGAGGGGCTGCACAGCCCTTGATAACTGAAAGAAACCTGTCCTAGCAACCCCACTTGAAGCAAAGTACACATTAAGTTGGTGAAAATACTAATTTATTTATAAAAAAAAAAAAGAAAATTCTCTCTTAGCACAGGAAAACATCAGTGTGAAACACTGAATTCCATAACCTCTCACCAATGCAGAGTTACTTTTGTTTTAACAAGAAAACCTGCACTGCCTCCACGCAGTACGTTTACACGCACTTCCAGCTAATGAATTCTGTATACAACTAACACAGCAGCTCAGCAAGAGATTTATGACTAATCCACCTTTACATGTGTTTCTTCAACATGCACATTATCCCGCAGGAACAACACCACTATGAACAATTTAAAAAAAATCAGCCTTCCTGGAGCATGTACCTCCCCGGCAAAGCACATACCCGTTCTTCTTCGGCAAGTAGGCTTCCATGTCGAAGAAGGCATTTTGCCTCTCCTTGATCTGGGAGCTGATCTCCTGAATGAGAGCAAACTCTTCAGGACTGGCTCTGGGCTTGCACCTGCAAGAATATGGAAACAAGATATTCCCGTTCACGTTTTTACCTCCTTTATATTTAAAGGAAAAACAGTGTTGTCATAAAAATCCACGCCGTTAAAGAGCTAACTGTGTGAGTTGCTGCCATTGCACACTTTGCTCCTACGTTTCTGCAGCACCATTTGGCTTACCGTGATTTTATTTCACTGCCTGCTTTATGCCATTGTAGGTTTAAACCAGCTGGTTTATAAATCAGCCTCTCTTTTCATCTCAGCTGAGTGACAGGATTCCATAGCTCTTCCCTAGCTTGGGGAATATTGTGCTTTTTTGCAGGAACCCCTTCCACTTCGGATACTTTGTGCATGATTTCAGGCACTGCCCTCGCAGCGGCTGCAGCTCTTCAGGCATTAAATATTTCAGGATGTAACAAAACACACAGCTGATGATTCAGTGACAAGCTGCAGTTTTACCAATTAATGTCAAACAGAGAGCAGTGCACAGGGCCGTCAGCAACCTGTGGTGTTGGAGGTGGTGCATTCAGACCTGCACATGAGGAATTCAGCTTGTGGCTCCCAGGGATCAGCCAAGCAGCTGGAGCCAGTTCCCTCCTCTAAATCCACCCAGGAGTGAGTTACACCTTCAGGTTGAAGGATTGATGCTGCTCTCCCAGCACAGCTTACGGAGCAAAGCTTTGCTCACCCACCAAAACACGTGGACCCAAAGCTGTACGGTCCTGCAGCCCGTGGCACGCACTGCAAGGATGCAAACCCACACAGGCTCCCTCAAGGATCTTCTTTATTTACAGGACTCCATCTCTCATGAGGTTATGAACATTTTACCTGGCTGTGACAGATGGAGGTGACTCAAGAATAATACGGCGTAAAATTACTACCGCGACACGGGTTGCAGATTAAAATGCTAAAAATCCAAACATTTCAGCCCTTTGGGAAGGAGAAACATCCCATCCCTGCCTCCTCCACCCTCCAGGTCTCCCATTACCGTTGCAGGCTGTGCTTCAGATCCCTTAGGGTCTTCTTCTGCCGGTGTATGGAGCTGCTGCAGGCTGTCTGCAAGCTGGTGACTTCCTCCAGTTTCTGCCTGTAAACTTTGTGTGTTTCCTGCAGGAGAAAAGGAGAGAACTGATAGGAAGAGCCCTTTTAGCCCATATTGCTTTTGGTCCTCACCTCTGAAGGAAGCAAGCAAACCTCTGGTTTTTTGGGGAGTCAACAGGCACCCCTGCAAACAACCAAGGAGAGGGTGATGCCAAACCAGCGCAGATCTAACAAGGCTTCAACGGACATTAACAAAGTTCCTGCAAAACAAAGAGCATCCTCTGCACTCATCTCATTTCCTCTTTTCTAATGAGCTTTCCTGCTCAGGAGCTCCTTGTTCCCCATCCCACCACGTAACAAAGCCCTGACCCTCTGTTTGATCCCAATCTGTCCCCATCAAATGGGTGGCTAAATCACAGAGCAGGGACCCTGATTTCACAGCCAGATTAAATCTGAGGGAAAAAAAAAAATTAAAAAAAAGATGAGGAGCCAGAGGAAAAAACCCACAAAACCAGCCACAGACTCATGCCTTGGGGTTTAGATTGCTCCTGGCCACCATTGGCATCTTCACCCTACGCATGTTCAAGCAACCTACGCAAGAACTGAACTCTTCCCCTCCCTGTGGTATTAGATGCTCCTGAAGAGGAACTTTATCACAGCTCATTGAACCTCTGAAGCCCCCAATTAGTGTTTGTCTGGCCATAATGAGGGCACGCTAACCAACTGCAAGCCCACTGCTCTCACACCACTCCCTCTACTCCTGAATAAACATGCTCCACTTTTCTGCCCTTTGTGATGATTTCACCACCCTCCCAAAGTGCAGAGAGACCTTGGGAAGAGCTACCCAGGCACCATGCAATGCCCTCTGGGCAAATTTTAAGATCTACAATAACTTGGAAAACAGAGTTTGTAGAGTAAGTGCCAAGAGAAGGCGCTGGTTAAATGGCTATTTGCACGGCTGCTTTATCTACCAGCTCATCAACAACCAAAGAAAATTACCACTGGTTTCCCCGAGCATAAACACGGGGCTAAAACCATACAAAACAACTCTTTGCTCACCTCCTTGTTAGACCTTGCTGTTAGCTATTCATTATTTACAAGAGCGATGCAAAACAAGCTCTGGTATCCGATTTAAAAACCTTAACGACCAAACTACCCGTGTTCAGGCACCGCAGCTCGCATCGTTTCAGGGCTGGTTTGGCTTCGCTTAGCAAAGGGCAGGACTTCAGGGCTCCCCAGATTGCACAGTAACTCGTTCTGCTTCTCCAGATGTCACGCAACAGCGTCTTTTAAAAGACTGGTTCAAAGGGTGCAAGAAGCTCTTTGCCAAAAAAAGTGTTCAACTATTTATTGAAAACACAAACAGGCAAGTTGAGAGCTGGTAAATTCTACCACTAGCCAAAAACATCAGGATAATGATTTCAAAATGACGGTGGTATTTAGAAGAGCATAACATCTCCCAGTAATGAAGCTACTTATTCATCTAGAGAGGTGATTGCTTACAAAGGGGACCCACCAGCAGCACAGGGAGCTCAGCACTGCCTTTACATTAACACATATAACCCACAGGCCAAATACCTGCCCGGAGGGTCAGGTCTGGCCACAGCTTTCTCTCTGTAGGAAACAACACATGTTGAAAAACAAAGGACCTGGAATAGGAGTGTTTTTGCCCCGAGTTGAAGAGCTCCCGGGCCCAAGACGACAGAGTTGTCTCTGCACCCAAGTTTACAAGTTTCACAGCAGCTCAGCACCGCGTCCCCACGCCACAACCGCTGGGTGTTTTCTAAAGGTACCTCGAGGTCTATTTTTCCACTGCACTCCCAACAGCCCTGCTTGTGGTCAGCACTTGTCCATTTGCAAGACTCAAACCATGTCCACAGGAAGCCCTCGCAGGGCTTTTTTTCCTAATCAAAATCTGGTGTACACGCTCATAGGCAGGGTTTAAATTAACACGCTCTTGCAGGGCAACTTGCATTTTCCCATGTTCCTGCCCCAAAACTGCAATGCCCCACAGCCCCAAGCTCTTTCTTGGGCTGCTGCTCCAGAGACAAGGCCCTGTCCCAGCAACCCAAACTACAAACACTCGCAGATGTGGCTGGTGAGAAGTGCTTTGCAAACCTGGATGTCCCCCAATGCCAACTCACAGCTGGTCCTCCCAAAGGGATGCTCAGTGCTGTGGTGACATCAGCCCCTTCAAAGCCTCTCAAAGTCAGAGCTCCCCAAATACAAGCGTATCCCCAAGTGCCAGGCAACCAACACATCAGGGGCAGGAGCTACAACCGGAGTCCAAGGTCCTCCTCTGCAGGAGAAGGAAGACACAATCCCTGATCCAGAACTTACAACACAATTATAAAACATGACACAGGGCAGGGGTGCATCAAAACAGAGACTGTTTTGCCCCACGCGGCTGGCATTGCTCTCAATACACAATAAAATCTGCTCATCATCCTTTTTTTTTCCCCACTGGCATTGCAAAAGAGACCCTTTTAGTGGAGGTGATCAAAGTACCTTGGAAAACGCCAACGGGGAGCTCCTTCCAAACATGAACAGCAGCTCCTGTGTGGCCCAGGACCAGCATTTCCAGCTGGAGATAAGAGTCAGGCCAGACAAAAAGGGGCACTGAAGGGAGCTGATGGAGACGTGGAGGGGGTCAGGCTGCTGCCAGGACAACCAGGCTCCTCAAGAGCAAGAGATGCTACAAGCATGTCCAAAAAGCCATGCGCAAGGGCAAGCGTGAGCAGACAGCCACATCAAAGTACTTTCTTACTGAAGGGTTGGGGTTTCTATCCCAACACATCACGGTTTGATTTGAGGAGCATGGAGCCTTCCTCCAAAGCTCACTGAAGCACCACCAGCATCTCGTGGAGCTAGAGCAGAGCCACGTCCTCAGGACAGGGCCGTGTTCCCTTCTTCTGCAACGCTGCCTCCAGGTTGTGAGCCCTGAAGCTCTCAGATAATGGATGTTATCCCAACTTCTGACCTCTACAGTACTAAGCCCTGGGGAATTATACCTTGTGCCACCAGCAGCTGCGACCCACCAAGAAACATCTCTACTTTCCTTTTATGGGTGGAGAAACCAAGGCAGGGATAAGCCAGTGACATTTTGCTGTGGTTTAGGTCAGACTCGAGCAGCGTGCTCTGAGAGAAGGGGCACACACGTCTCAACAAATCCACGCCAGCTGGCGATCCCCCCGCAACGCCCAACCACCACCTTTCCTTCTGCTAACGAGCATACAACCTGAACAGATTTTTAACGAAGACAACAAGCCAAATCTGGAAATCACACTTGTTTTGTGGCGCACGTTGTGTTTAGCAGCCTAGAAGAGGCTAACAGCCACATAGAGAGAGAATGGCCGCTCGTGTTTTAAAACTAGCTTAAAGCTTTAAAGCACGTGTATAGACACAGTGCTGATGACATAGGGGGAAGGGAAGGTTTCTGGAGGTAAAAAAGCCTTTTGCAGAAGCAGCTCTCAGCCCCTGCTCCAAGGTCTTTCTGTCCCTCAACACACTTTTGCCAGATGGAAAAACCCGTTGCATCCCACCAGAAGAAATGAAACTCGGGGCAGGCGATGCTCGCAGCGCGGGGGTTACCTGCATCACTCCTTGTGTCGTGGGAGGGGGGCACCAAAACGCCGGGTCCCCCCTTCTCCACCCTCCCTCTGGCAGCGGGAACCACGTCCCCTCCGATGCCCCACCAGCCGTATACCCGGGGCACGGCCACGGTTTGGTCTGGGATGTCCCGGAGCACCTGGTACCCCCCCGGAGGAGGACACGGAGGTGTTTTTGGGGTGCAGCGGTGCTTCATCCCTGCACCCCAAGGTGTCACCCCAGGGCCCCGCCGGGCGCAGTGAGGAGCGGGGTGAGCCTTCCCACACCCCGGGAAGCTCCCTGCTGGGGCTGCTCTGAGGCCTCCCGGAGAGGCGGGCAGCGGAGGGGGAAACCCCGGAGGAAGGGGAGCGGCGGAGGGAGGGAGACCCCGGCGGAAGGGACCCCCGGGGGTGCGCACCCCGCGCTGCTGCAGGGCCCCCTCGCAGGCTGCGGCTGCGCGGCCGGGAGCGCAGAGAGGGGAGCCCCGGGAGCCGGCGCCCCCCTCCCTCCCTCCCAGCGATGGGGAAGGCAGCGCAGAGCGAGGGGAGCAGCGGAGACGGAACCGGTGCGAGGCACCGCACGGCACCGCACCGGCGCGGAGCGCACACCCCCCCCTCCCGCTCTACCCGCCCCTCACCTGGAGCTGCCGGAACTCTTCCTCCAGCTCCTGCCACTCGCCCCGGCACCGCTCCAGCTGCACCCTCATGGCGCGGAGGGGAGGGGCGGCGCACGGAGGGCGGCGGGGACCCGCTCTGCTTCTGCTTCTGCTGCTGCCGCCGCTGCTGCCGCTGCCGGCGGCGGGGCCAGCCCGCACCGGGGCCGGCGGGCCACGTGCGCCCCTGACGTCATCGCGCGGGGCTGG